GGTGGGGGAGTGCAGGAGGGGCTGGAAGCTTCTGGCTAACGTGATGAGGGGAAAGATTTCCCATTCGGGAAACGGAGGCGCAGAGTAGGTGGGTATCAAAGGCCAACACCTGGCGGCTGCGAGGACCAAGTCACCTCTCAGAAGGGCACTCAATCCGACCACCCAGACCAGACGGTCTCAGCTGCTGGAGAGCCCAGGGCTGCGAGGCACCAGGGAGCACACGCTACCCGCCGGGACCTCGCCGTGATGAGCCTCACGCTGGGCGAACCGCTGGTGTTTATTGTGACGCGTTGCCCGGAGGACAGGAGAATCCATTCCAAGGACGCTGCGGGGGACACGCGGAGACTTCGAATCCGCATCGAGCAACGCGCGGAAAGACTTAGGAGTGGGTTGGGATACGGATGATTCAACCAATAAAGTAATCTCTTAAGTTTTAAGAAGCTTTATTGTATAAATAAACTTCAATATAATTAATTACAATAAGACTTCTGCTTTCCGCCCTATTATCTATCCTCCGGGAGCTGTGGAATGGTACACCCCTTGACATGTGCCGCGGGGCGTGCTGGGAGCTGTAGTCCGCCTCCCCAGGCCCCGCCCCTCGATGACGACACTTCCAGACCAGCCTCCTGAGCCTCTGGGCGGACGTTAGCGCCTCTGCACCGCCACGTCGCCGACATGGTGAGTACCTCTGCTCGCCACCGACCCCGCGTCTCCCCCTGGGACTTCGGTGGCCGCCACGCCTGCGGCTCCGCAGCCATGAAAGGAGCTAGTCCCGCCGGGGCCCACAATGACAGCTGCGGACTCCGTGGCTCGGGCCGCCCCGTTCCTGCCCTCGGCCTCCCCGCTGGGGCCGGAGGGACCTCTCCCCCGCACAGGCCTTGATCCCCCAGCGCGGCCGCGTTCGGACACGCGCTTCCCGCGCCTCCTCCTTGCGAATGCATTTTGAGGACCACGGATTATTCGGCGCTTTTGAAGGTTTTGAAGAAGGATTGGATCTTGGAAAGATGAATAACTTTCTTCAGACACTCTCAGTAACCGTGATGAGACACTTCCGGTTTCCCTCGCCTGCAGTGGTTCCTCCAGGTCCTGCAGCCCCTGCCCTGCAGGAGGTGGTGTCCTCCTGGGACACTTCCTTTACACCCGCGCTTGCTCCCAGATTTGCGTCTCCAGCTTAGACCTTTGTTCTGAGTTGCTTTTATTCTGTCCACTGACTGTAGCCCCGCATGGATAGAGAGCTCATGTATTTCCATCTCAGCGAGTTCAAAACTGACGCATTTCCACCTCACCTCACCCCACACCTGCTCTTCCTCCAGCGACCCCACCTCAGTTACTTGTGCCACCGTCCACCCTGCCCTGCACCCAAAAGCCTGGACGACATCCTTGGCATCTCCCTTTTCTCAGCTCCCGAGCGTCTGATCAGTAACCAGGCTCTGTGGAGCCCACACCCGTGGCTGTGAATTCTCACCCTGGACTCTTGCCATCCTTGTCCTTGTCACCATCCCCTAACCACCCGCCTGGTCTCTGACCTGGTCGTCTACGCAGGCCTTCCCCAACCCGGTTCCACACCCCTACCCCCCATCCCCACCTTTCCTTTGGAATTGCTCATACTCAGGCCTGCCCATCCTTCAGATCTCAGCTTCAATAATATTTCTTCAGAAGTGTAGGGAGAGTCTGCAGCGGTTCTCAACCTGTGGGTTGCGACCCCGTTGGGGGTCGAACGAGCCTTTCACAGGGGTCGCCTAAGACCATCAGAAAACACACATATAATTACATATTGTTTTTGTGATGAATCACTATGCTTTAATTATGTTCAGTTTGTAACAATGAAATGGGGGGTCACCACAACATGAGGAACTGTATTAACCCCTTCCCCGGCAGAAACGTGTATACTCGTTTTCACAAAATGTTCTTTTTCAGTCGTCGACGAGTATACTAAGAAAATATGGTAAAAAAATATGGTTTATAGGAAGACGAGTTACAAACTGTTTTCATAACCAGCATCAAAAATACTATATAGAACCAAAATAAAAAAATTCGTCTGAAAAAGAAACGTTTTTAACAAAAAAATTGTTGGGGAAGGGGTTAAAGGGTCGCGGCATAAGGAAGGTTGAGAACCACTGGTAGTGCTTTCACATGTGACCTTTTATGGAACCTTCGCAGCCATCCTATGAAGTTGTAGATTTTTCCCATTTTACAGAAGAGTACAGAAGGCTTGAGTCGTTAGTTAAGTTGTGCAAAATCATACAGTAAGTTGCGGAGTTAAATTTGCTCAAGCCTGTCTTTTTAACTTTTATCTCCTTCAGTGCCTTTCACTGTCATTCAGTATTTTTTGCTCAGATGGGTGCAAGTATTTTCCTGTGCTCTGAAATATTCTTCTAAAGCAGGATTTGTTCATGGCTATATAATATTCATAATTATTTAACCCCACCTGCCATTGTTGACATTTAGGTTAACATCCTTATACCTGAATCTTTGTTTTGCAGATTTCCTTAGACTAAATTTCTAAATGCAGGCTCACTACTCCAAGAATGTGAATAGAAGGCTTTTGGTTCTTATTGCCACATTGACTTATGAAGAGTTCTACAGTCCATACTCCCACCATTAATGATGTCTTAGTTTTCTCTCATCCTCTTGACCACCAAGTATTATTATATTAAGTTCAATGTTTTTGTGCCTTTCTTAAACTCGGTCTTTACCACTGGTGTTTTCGTGTCATTGTTAAGCCCATGGTTGACTATAATTTAGAGACGTGGTCTTACAGCACTCGATACTAACCGAGCTATCTGCATCCTAGCCTTGTGTCAAAGGCTTGTGATGTGTTGTGATAGCTGGGTTGAAGAAGTGCAATATTAAAACAAAAGCCGTGAGTCTTTAAGCCCAGTGTGTAAAGACACACTCTGAGTTATAACTCAGTGGCACAACTGGAAAAAGAAAAAGAAAAGAAGTAGAAATACATCTTAAAGCAGTGGTCTTCAGCTTTTTCACATGAGAATCACTGGAGCGGGGGAGCGTTTAAGCATTCTTATGCCAACCCTCCCCAGACAAATTAATCCGTTTAAGTTCCTCAAGTGATTCTAGTGTGGGACAAAAGTTGAGAACCCCTGCTTCAGAATTTAGGGTGTTTTGTTTTCTTCATAAGACGAAGAATTCGCGAAATGGTTTGAAAAGACGAGGTTAATTAACGCCTTAGCCTAAATTCAGATTTACATTTATATAAGGATGAGTTCGTTTTGTTTCACATGGAACTTTTGCTTCATTTGTCTCAGGTGGTTTCAGAGACTATGGATTTACTCTTCAGAATCCGAGGAGGCCTTGATCTAGCTTTTCAGCTAGCCACTGCTAATGGTAGGTCAGCCAAAAAGCTCTCCTTTTTTACTATAAAAATTGATGATGAACTAGACTGAGATTCTCACCAGTTTGCACATGAAACTGTACGGGAGGTAGGATGAATTGTCCAAGACCATGGAGTTAGTAAGTTATATAACTTAGATTTAAACTTAGACAATGTGTTCCAACACCACCACCAATGGGACTCCTCTGTACAAATTCAAAAAAATGAGCTTAATAGATGAATCTTAACACTGTTGTGCTGAGTGAAAGAAGCCAGACACAAAAGGCCACATAATACATGATTCCACCATATGAAGTGTCCAAAATAGACAAACCTATAAAGACAAGAAATAGGTTAGCGATTGCCGACAGTAAGTTTAGGGGGAATGAGGATCGACTGCTGGTAGGTACAGAGTTTCTTCTGGGGTCATCAAAATCTTGTGGAATTAGTGATGGTTGTAAAACCTTGTGAATACACTAAAAGCAACTGAATTGTACTCATTCTAGGAACGAATCTTATGGCCAGTGAATTTTATCTCAGTTTTTCCGAAAGAAAAGCAAACATTTTGTATAATTATTGAATCTGGGGAATGGACATTTGGGAGCCAATTTGACTTCTATTTTTGTGTGTTTGGAAGCATTCGGGTTGAAAAGTGTAAAACTTTTCTCTTCAACTTCTACTTATATTCTTTTAATTTAGACATTTTTATCCAGAAGGCACTAAAACATGTGTTGAGTGACCTGTCCGCCAAGCTGTCTTCAAATGCACTGGTGTTCAGAATTCGCCACAGCTCGGTGTATGTGTGGCCTAACAGTGACATGAACACCATCCCAGGAGAGCTGACAGATAGTTCTGCTTGTAAAACCTTACTGCGCTTCATCCAGTGAGTATGTTTGAAGATTGCTAGAAATGCTTCCAAAATGTCATTTCATACGCTAAACATCTTTGTGTGTGAAAAATTTAGATTTGAACAGGAAGAAGATACAAAACGAAAATTCATGAGGAAGAAAGACAAAAAGTTATCAGATGTGGTAAGCAAATCACCTGCCTTCCTAGTGGTAAAAATTTTAAATCCTTGAATTTGGAGTTGAGATTTTAGAAATTATTTACTCCATCTCTCTTAATTATTATAGATCAGATTACTGAGGTCCAGAAAGATAAATGACATGCTAGACATTATATCTCTTTTTTCATATCTAAACTTTGGTTCCATTATAATACTTACTTTATGCTTTTTTTGAATGTTTTCTTTATTCCCACAACAATAAAATTGCTTGAGTACATTTACAAATTATTTAAAAATAAGTAAAAAGGAATCATTCTGAAACACGACAGTAACACATTATTACCATGTGAGATACTAAATGATTTACTTTTCTTCATACTGTTCTTAGTTCTGTTGATTTTTGAACCAATACTATTGAGTTCCTGCCTGCCGTGTGCTACAAACTTTGCCCAATATTGGAGATTTAAAAAAATGAAGCTACTTCTGCAAGCAGGAAGTTGTGTGAAATTAATTTGACTGTAGTGTTTTTCCAGGCCAGTAGAGGAAAATAGGTGGACATGAGGTTGGAGAGGTGGGCCGGGCACACTTCAGGAGAAGATAAACTAAACTAGTAGCTAAGGTAATAGAGAGGAGGGAAAGAATACACAAAATATTTGGGGTATAAAATGGATTACATTTGGAAACTAATTGGATATGGGATGACCATTTCTTGCTTGAGTAAAAATGGAATTTGAGGTTGGTTTGGGCCATGTTTCAGATACCAGTGAGGTGTCCACAGGAGCTGTTGGTGTTACCAATCTGAAGTATACACAAAAATCGCGGGCTGTAAATAATTCTTTGAGAAATACCAATATTTGGAGCTGGACATTTTGAGGAGTACTGGTCAGCTGTTTTGTAGTCTGTTTTACTCTTCCTCCTGATTAAATGCAGGTTGTGCATTAAATGCAGGTGGGAATATCACAGAGGTAATATTGTGCTCTTCTCAGCACATCGGATTGAAAAGGCACATGCTACCCTAGTGTTGGTGATAGCTTCGATCACTTAATGTGGTTTCTGCCACTTTTCTCCTCTGTGAGAGCACTATCTTTTCCCTTACAATTAGGAAGTAATTCGTGAGAAGACAATTCAAGGCTATGTATAGATCCTCTTCCTTGTCAAATGCTACCTCTTCTAGCATCAACTGATCATTTTTTGCCAGAATCCAACATTAAGCTGATAGTTGCCAAGTGGCGCTTTTCCTGTCATTTCATATTTAAATTAATGTCATATTTATTAGATGACGGGAAGACTGTGAGGAGAGCTTTTCCTATTTATGTGTTATCTGCACAGAAGCATGGATTCTTATTCAATGCAATGAGCTATAATCTGTTACTGTTGTTAGTTATTTGAGGCTCGCATTTTCCAAGATTTGGCCAATAGAAACTTCTTCAAGCCAGCGCCAGAGATTTTTGACACCATTTTTCTGAACTTCCTACCTTCTTCCACAAGCTGTTCAGGCATATCATGGACTCTCCCTGATCCAACTCAGGAGTCAGCCATTCCTCCAAGGAGCGTACACATGTACAAATCCATACTATTCATATACACACATACACTCATACTTATCTATGTAAATCATGTCTGTACCTCCAGTTCTGTTTCAGCCTCACACAGTTCCTAACCTTTTCCCTGTGAGAAACCTGGCTTCCAGTAGCCTCAGTATTTTTCTACATTTGTTCAATATACAAAAAGTATTTTCAGAATTCGTCTTCCATGCCAGTCAGAACCAATCCTCGTAATAGAATTCAGTATTTGTTTATAGTTCTCCATGTCTTTAGAGCAGGGGTCTATCGTTTAAAAGTTCCTTCAGTGTGTGCTTATTTTGTCTTATTCCTTGGTTTTTTGAGTTTTTTTTAACTAAGTCTAGAGAATAATATAATGAACCCTGGTGAACCTACACCAGCTCTCATGTCTACCAGCACACAGTCAGTCCGATTTCATCTTCACTCCCCACTCACTAGCCACCTCTCCTCAGGTTATTTTGAAGCAGAGAATAATTTTTGTTAAGATTTGAGCATTTAAACAACTTACTATAGCTTTGGTCCTTAAAAAGTCCTTTTGCTTAATCCTCTTATATTTAGTGTTCACTGTGCTATAAGTTGACTATTACTGTTTATCTTTATAGCATCAAGTAGTAAACATAGATCTCATGCTGGAAATGTCAACCTCTCAGACCGCCGTAACCCCCGTCATTGAAAGAGAAATCGGAGAACACCACTATGTGACCATGACGTTGCCGGTTGATGTAGTTTTATCTGTTGCCCCCGAGGAAGCATGGGGAAAGTAGGTATTCCAGAGTACTACTGCCCCGTGTCAGAGAGGACCCTGCCCAAAGTAACA